GCCGGCCCCCGCCTCGCCTCACGTTCGCGGCCCCGCCCGCCTTCTCATTGTCGAACATTAGCACAATTCACGGAAATCTCTCCTGTCCTGCGCATGCAAATCAGGGTCTGGCTTTACAAACCGCCCCAAATGAGTCAGCAGCTGGGATGATTTGGGGAATCTGTACAACGTGTCAATTCCAGCTTGAGATGATGAGCTCGCTGTTTGCCTCTCGAGCAAATGCCCAACTCCATTTTGATTCTGCCTTCCCTGCTGTCTTTCCCCCTGCACCTAGGGGCACCCCCCAAGGAGGGGGTGACTCAAGGCCAGGAAGGGAGGGTTGTTAAACGTTGATCGTCTTCTACTCAAATGGAAGCCCCCTTGGACAAAGCAGGCAGCCAGACCCAGGAAAACAGCTCACCCGGGCATAGGAATCATGCAACCGAATCAGCGGGCAGGGGCGTTCTGAACATCTGATGAGGCTGACGGTGGGGTGGGGGGAAGGGAGACACCGGGCAAAGGGAGGACTCTACCCCCGTGGTTTTAAAGAGAGGGGCAGAAAGCAAGGCTGTGGGGGAGAAGGGGAGGGTCCTGGACACCCCAGGGGACCCATTTCAGCCCCAGGGACAGTGCAGAGCGGTGACGGAGCTGGGGGGAGGGGCAGCCAGGGGTTATTTTGTCTGTGCAGAAGAGGGGGAGGTTAGGCCCCTGGTGAGCCTGTGAGTTATGCGCTTCAGCGCTCGCACGGTCGTGAGACGGGAACGGCGAACCCGCAGCGGGAGGGAGCTCCGGGAAATGTGCCCAGCTCCCGGGATGTTTCCGGAGTCAGCGCAGGTCATGGGATCAGAGCTGGCAGAGACCTCAGGAGTCGTCGAGTCCAGCCCCTGCCCAAAGCAGGACCGACCCAACGCCATCATCCCAGCCAGGCTTGGTCAAGCCAGGACTTAAAAGCTTCCAGGGATGGAGATTCCCCCCGCTCCCTAGGGAACCCATCCCAGCGCTTCCCCACCCGCCTAGGGAAATCGTTTGTCCTCATCTCCAACCTAGACCTCCCCCCTGCAACCTGAGCCCATTGCTCCTCGTTCTGCCCCACTGAGAACAGCCTCTCGCCAGCCTCTCTGGACCCCCCCTTCAGGGAGTTGCAGGCTGCTCTCAAATCCCCCCTCGCTCTTCCCTTCTGCAGACTATACAAGCGGCAGGGCTTCTGGCAGAGCCGGGACCAGAACCCCATCTCCCAGGAACCACTGCTGTGTCCTAACTCAGCAGGGCGAGGGTTAAAGCCGGGCAGAGGAAGCCTGCACAAAATGAACCTATCGGAGTGAGGAGCTGTCAGCCAATCAGGGCCAGGCTGGGCCCTATAAAAAGGCTGCAGGGCTGAGGGAGCTCATTCTCACCTTCCCTGGCCAGGGAGAAGGAGCCGGGTCCCCGGCACCTTAGAGAAAGAAGTGCCGGGCAGGCTATGGGGAGCCAGAGAGACGCTCCAGCCAGATGCCTCCCAGGCTGTGGCCTGAGACAAGGGCTGCGAAGGTGCAAGGGTCACGGAGAAGTGGCCCCGGGACTGGGAGCAGTCAAAGGGGCAGAAGAAGGGCAGGACCAGGGGGTCCCTGGGTCGGGACTCAGAGTAGTGAGAGGGCCTGGGTCCCGCCTCTTGTCCTGCCCCTTGCCACCATGGAGCGTGGCCATTACAGGCTGACGCTTGCACCTGAGGCAAGGGGCTATGCCAGGATTGAGGGGGGCTGACGCCCCGGAATGGGAGAGCACGGAGTGGCAGGCGGTGTCCTGAAGAGGACACCGACGAGGGTCCAGAGCCAGACAAGCCGAGGAGGTGCTACCTTGGCCCACCTGAGGGCCAACGTCTCCATTTCAGAACAGTCAGGCAAGGGGCTTTCAAGGGGACGAGGCTGGTTAAGCACCAGTCTTCTCTAGCAAAGACCCAGAACGCTCAAGAGTCTTCCAGGGGACGTGCACCATTTGTTACTCAGGCTACCGACAGGGTCCAGAGAAGAGCAACAAGAATGATGAAAGGCCTAGAGAACATGGCCCGTGAGGGAAGACGGAAAGAACTGGGATTGTTTTGTTTAGAAAAGAGCAGATTGAGAGGGGACAGGAGAGCAGTTTTCAAGTACCTAACAGGGTGTCACGAGGAGGGAGAAAAATTGTTCCCCTTGGCCTCTGAGGACAGAACAAGCAGCAATGGGCTTAAACTGCAGCAAGGGAGGTTTAGGTCGGACGTGAGGAAAACTTCCTACCTGTCAGGGGGGAGAAACACTGGAATAAATTGCCCAGGGGGGTTGTGGAATCCCCATCCCTGGAGATACTGAAGAGCAGGTTGGACACACACCTGCCAGGGATGGTCTAGAGGGTGCTGGGTCCTGCTGTGAGGGCAGGAGACTGGACTCGATGCCTCTTGAGGTCCCTTCCAGTCCTAGTGTTCTGTGATGCTATAGGGACCTTATGCTCGGCACCATCTAGCTAGGTGAACGGTCCCCCCGTACGTGAGCTGCCTTTGCTATCTGAGTGCAGGGTCCCAGGCGTGGGCATGCTGCCTTTGCTCTCCTCCGAGGGAGCCAGTTCTAGGAGGAAGTCTGGGGAAAGCCAGTCTGGGCATTTCAGTTCAAGAAACAGGCCCCGGAGGAGGCAGCTGTGCCGAGAACGGGGGCAGGGACAGTGCAACGAGCAGGAATAGGCAGCAGTCCGGAGAGCAGGACCTCGGAGGAGAGGGCACGGGCCGGGGCAGGGGGAGAGCTAGGAGGGCAGTGCACAGATACCGGGGGGAGTTCCTCCCAGAGCAGAGAGTCCCGATGCTCCATCCCTGGGGACAATGATCAACACGGCCCTCGGCGGCAGGGAGGAAAACGGGGCCAACCGTGGGGAAAGCCTTTGAAACGGGGATGGCCCAAGGAGTCTGGGCCCCTCCTTTGCGGGCGCGCGCCAGAGCCAGATGCCCACGTGTCCGGAGCTGGCCAGGGAGGATGGAATCACTTCTGCCGTGATGCAGGGGGCGGGCTAGCGAGCAAGTGGCGCTTTCTGCAGGGTTCCCCGTAAGCCGGGCGCGGGGGCGGCCGCTCAGGAGAGGTCCCAATTCCACCCAGCTGTGCGCCCACCGCTAGCTTTCGTTTCTGCTGGTGGTGCACGTTTGCACATGCCTCGGTGCACGCGCACATTATTCCGCACATGGATGGAAAGGGTGAGAAGGAACGCTGGCTTCCTGCTGGCTCAACATGAGGTGACTAAGCAAATCCCCAGGCCTGCAAACCAGCTTGAGCTCTGAGCCAATAGGGCCATACTGAGGGCTGGTATCTGACCCCGGAATGACAGATGAGTGAGGAGCAGGGCACACGGACACACACACAGGGAGAGAAGCGAGCACCGAAAGGACCAAGCTGGAGACGGCAGGTCACCGGGCTGTTCTGCGGCTAGGTTCTCGGCACCACACCGAGGGCCTAGGCTCAGTGAGTGTCGGCGGTCACTGCCGAAAGGGACAGAGGGGCAGGGAGATTCGTCCGTCTCTGATACCGTCACTGAGGGGCCCTCAGCACTGTAGTCAAGTCCCTCCCGAAATCCTGACGGTTTTATTCTCGCAGCTCTTCTCAGGCAGGGCCTTGCTGTCGGCCCCCTTGTACGGTGGGAAACAGAGAGACTGAGCTGTGCCCAGGGCCCTACAGGAACACCACGGCAGGTCCCCCGAGAGCTAGGGTACTGCTCTAACTATCGGATCTAGGAGTCAAACTGTCTCCTCCCTCCTCCGATTTCTCACTCGCGTACCTCACTCAGAGTGCTACACTGGCGAGAAGCTATCCCACCTTCCTGGCTGCCCGCCGTGCCGCACAAAGCCAGCCCCGGGCTAGCCGAGAGAGGGCTCCTCTTACCCACCATCGCTAAACCGTCTGCAGGCCACGAGCACGCCCACCTCCGCCCCACCTCTCAGAGCTCACACCCCACAAAGGAGCTGTCTACGCCGCATGTTGCCCCCAGGGAAGCACCTGGAGCTCGGGATGTAATCGTGTAGCCGATTAACCGATAAGGAAAAGCTCCTAGGTTAATGCTATAGACTACATGCATACCCCCCTTCCCCGACAGTACGTTCTTCAGCAGGCTGGCCAGCAGCCTAGCTCAGTTCCGGGACCTACCCCTGCTGCGCCTCGGCTTTTAAAGTGTGTTAGGAGCCAGGCGGGCAGCTCGGCTCAGTCCTGGCTTATGCCAGGTCTGGGATCCTAGACCTCCTCCCCCAGGCAGGGGCTGCTGCCACCCCGCAGTGCTGTCTCTGATACAGAGGCAGCAGCATGGGGCGACAGGCAGCTGGTCCACGAGGGGAGCTGGTTTTTAAACCGGCTCCCCTCGTGGACCAGCTCCCACCTGGTGCCCCGTGCTGCTGCCCTGATACAG